AATCTTTCGGTCGATGAAATCTCGCAAGCAGTAAAAGAACTTGAAAAGTGGCGACGCTTCTGGAATCGATGGCATCCGCTTTCACCTACTTAAAGCTTTAGGCTCAGAAGGCATGTTATAGCTAACACGTGTTCTACCAAGCAAACGACAGTACTTGCCACAAGATACCAATCCACCGGACAACGGGGTTGTGGTACCCCTGTTCAAGAAGGAAAATCAGAAGAAGTGTTTGAACAGTCGCAGCGTTACCTTGTTGAGCCTACCGGGAAAAATTTACACAAAGGCACTAGAAAGGAGATGCCGTGGAATGAGTCACTTTAAGATAGGAGAGGCGCACTATTTGTTCACGTTACGCTGAAACACATTTGACCAGATCTTCGCCTTATGCCAGATTGTTCAGAAATCATGGGAGTACGCTCATCCAGTGTATATGTACCTTTGAGCATCTAGGGAAAGCCTATGACCATGTCCTAGATAGCAGGTCGTGGGCGTGCCTGCAAATATATTGGGTCGAAGGCCAGTTGTTACGGGCCATAAAGTCACTATACTTCGATAGCAGGCGTTGCGTCAGAGTAAATGGCGCTAAGCCCAGTTATTTCATTGTTGGCACTGATTCAGGCTGCATTCTGTCCGCTCTCCTGTTTATACTGTACATGGATAAAATAGTCAGAGACAGCCACGGTGAAGACTGTATCGGTCTAGGAGATGTGGAGACGAGGTGGCTGCTGTTTGCAGACGACCGTGTTTTTTCCTCATCTTCTGAATCGCCATCGTTCTTGTAAAGTATACAGCCGACTGCGATGTTGCCGACATGCGCGTGAACGTATTTACATTGAAACGCCTAGTGTTTTCTCCTTCTTTGCAGCTGAATGGTGAAGTAGTGAGGCTGGTTGTGAGAAGTTCACGTTCCTCAGGTTCATGCTTGCCGGTGATGGAAAATGGAAGGAAGCTGTCGACTGGTGAATTGGAATGGACAGCGGTGTTTTGTCCCCTAACCCTAACCGTTGTCTGAGTCTCAAGACTAAGCTATCTCTGTTCAAGTCGATCTAGATCTCAGTGCTTACGTTCAGTCAGCGAGTCGTTTGTCATAACTGAAAGGCTTCGATTCCGGTTGCAAACCGCGGAAATGAGCTTTCTGAGACGAATCACATGCGTATCGAAGACATGGTCAGGCGCATGTATTTCTGAGTGAGTCTTGTTGTACAACCACTTGTTCTCCAGATCAAGAAGTCACAGCTGCGAATTCAGTGCAATTACGAATTCAGCTGACGGGCCGAATGCCCCGGGGACGGCCAAGAGTAACCTCGGGCAAATGTATCGAATAACTCTGCTCCAGACTCGGACTATCTTCTGCCGACGTTCGAGCGCTTTTATACGATTTGGAACATTTGAAACATTATCTGCCGCGTTCGCTTCGCGATCTGAAAGTTTACGCGGTCATCGAAACTGACTGACCTGACTGACTGACTTACCTGACTGACTGACTGACTGACTGACTGACTTCTACTGACTTCTACTGACTTCTACTGACTTCTACTGACTTCTACTGACTTCTACTGACTTCTGCTGACTTCTGCTGACT